TAAGAAAACACATAAATCACAATTTGTAATAATTCCCATTTTCATGAGAAGTACCATGAGTTCTTTAACTTTGGTAATTAAGCTTATCTGTGTAAACCATTTATCTTGATAAGAGTTCAGCAGGCTCTGCTAGGATCCCTCCAACACCATTTTTTTTTTTTTTGGTACCAGGGATTGAACTCAGGACCTTGTACTTTCGAGGCAGGTGGCGGCACCACTGAGCTAAATCCCTGGCCCTACCATCATCACCTTTTGACACTGATACGATAAATAGTCTGGAAGAGCAGGGCAGAAGGACCTGAACCACAGTGGTAATCCATCAGCATGAACTCGGTAATGCAGCAGGCTGGAGGTGGATGGGAGCAGCCAACAGGCCAACAGCCCTTCACTTCTTTGGATGCCAACAACATGAAGCCTCAGTTTCTGCTGCAGCGTTTTTAGGGCAGAAGGCAGAGCAGCTTGAGGTTCTGATATTTTTATATTTTGCTTCACATCATTCACAAAGGATAACCACAGTTTACCAAAGTCTTCAGTTGAGATCTTTAATGGCCTAATGAAATCTAATAGTGATAAGTTTACAGAAAATTCCAGCTGAACAGAATGAGTATCCACCATTTGATAATTGACAAAACCAGAGAGATTCTCTTCTGTAAAAGGCTTTTCCATCTGCAGGCTATACTGAAAATTTTTGGTGCTTCCTGCTTCCATTACAGGCAAACAGCATCCAGACTGCTCACTGATCTTGAAATTTTGTGCAGGAAAAATGTCTAAGTCAGCACCTTTCAACTGGGAACCACTCTTACTAGTGACTGACCAGACCATCAGCAAACAATCGTCTTTCCAGAGTTTGTAGGAAGACACAGACACAGTTTCGTCACTACAGACCTCCATGCGACCTGAACACATGTCCCCAGTAGTTTCTTCCAAAAGACAAGAGGCTGAGGTGATGTCCCTGGTCAATGAAGCTACAGCAAATGAAGGGGGCTGAAAAATTTCCATGTCGCTATCAGCAAACAAAGAAGGTGCAGACAGGCTGCAATCGGAGACTTTCTCAGCCAAAGGCAGTTCTGAGAGAGACTCTGAATCCGAAAGTTCTGGGCCGAGGGGGAGGTCCTTTGATTCTACGTCTTCTCCATCCCGCAAAGCCAGTCAAATAATCATTTTCTTCATAGGCCGCTTGTGACAGAGAATTAAGAGAAGAACAAGTCAGATTATGGGTACTGGCTGCTTCTCCACTTTTGGCCGCCTTGACTTTTGATTTTCTTCTGAACTTGTGAGAGATGAAGTCTGGTTTTCCTAGCAAATTGATGATACTTTCTGATCCTAGCCCAACAAACAACGATGATGCCAACAGCTGCTTCTCCTTCTCTTCTTTAGACGGGGCGAGGACCTGAGCTTGAGACCTTTTTGCTGCAGCCTTGTCTATGTTCTCCGCAGCCCAGACCTCTGGAGGAAGGGGCGGAGCTTCGGCTCCATCCCGGGCTGCGCTCTCCTTCTGGGGCAGATAGCCCTCTTTCCCCCATAGCTTCTTCACACCATCCAGCTTCAAGTTATTTGTCTCTTTCAGCCCAGCCTCGGCACTATTTCCAGATATATCTGAACCAAGAGAAATGCCAGCAGGAGACTGTGGTCCAGTGAAACCAGATGAAGAGAAGGAGAGTCCATATGGCTCAAAGTTGAGAACTTTTTCCTGAGAAAGCTTTTCCTCCTGGCGTTGGTGGTGAGGTTTGTAAGGTTCTGCCCCCTGGCTGAGTCCTTCAGCCACATAATCATCCAGAAAAGATAAGGAAGCATGTACCACCACGTCTTCGCAGCTCTTATTGACTGGAAGCAAGCTCTTCATAACTTCTACATTCTCACGCAAATGCTTTAATTCAAATGTGTGCTGTCTCATGCAGGTATCCAAGGATATGGTAAACTCCTGCATTATTCTCTCCACTGTATCAGAAGCCTGTGCTTGAGCTGTCAGCTTGGTCACTGCAGCAATCAACCAGGCTTTCGTTTCTGAAGAAATGGAGTCACTCATAAGTAACTTACAGAGCCTCTTTATAACGTCCTCTGGCTTTTCTGTATCTAAGAGGTAAGAATACTCTCCTAACAGCTACTCTTTTTTCTAAGAGGTTTCCTTATTGGGCTAACTTGATTGCATGTATATAGCCAAAGGAAGCATCATATCCAAGCATTTCACAATACATAAGTCTCACCATACATTCCTTCATCATTTTCAGTGTCGTAGTAGGAGCAGAAACGGTTGCCTTCAAACTACTCAGTTCCTGCTGGATTAATTTCTCTTCTTCGTGCTTGGAGGTGAGGGCGGTGATGCTGCGGACCAGGCCGCCCAGGCTGGAGGAGAAAGGCGCCTTGGCCACCTTGGGCCCGCCGCCCGGCTGGCTCTGGAGGAAGAGTCCCGGCTGCGCCGTCAGCGTCCTCTCCATGATGTCGGTAGAATACTTCTTCTTTTTTTTTTTTTTTTGTATTAAATTCTTTTACTGGTACATTGTAGGTATACAACACAATTACATTTCTCACTGGGAATTGTACCTTTACATAATGCATCTTGGTTCTTATTTTTTCCCCATT